CCCCCCCCCCCCGCTGCTCCTCCCTCCTGGGGGCCTCCCACAGTCCTGGCCCGACTCCACACCTGCCCTGGCCTAAAGGGGCAGGGGGCAGCTGCTCCCCGACCAGCCCGGAGCTGCAGGGGCTGGGCACACGGAGGGGGCGGGACTTACGGCTGGGCAGGGGCACCGGAAGGCTGATGAGTCATGTGGCTTGGAGGGCTCCTACTGCTTCCACCCCGTGGAGGCCTCTCCCCATCACCCCAAAGACCAGGACACCCCTGAACTCCCCTAGTTAGGGGTTATGGGCTCAGGGAGATGGGAGCTGTAGACACTGGGGAACCATAGGTGCTGACCCTGCGGGTGGAGGGTGACGGTAAGAAGGGGCGGGTTGCTGCCCTGAGCCCCACACCTGAGACCCACTGTGCGCTGGCACGCTGCTCCGTGGGACAGCGCCCCTGGGGACCTGAGCGGGTGCCGGGTCAAGAGCAAGAGGAGCCTGCTGTCCCTCCTTCCTGGGGTGGCTCAGAGCGGGGCGGCCTGCATGCCCCCACACACTCTTGCACAGATCAGCCTCCCACCGGCCCTTCTTCCTCACCCCCAGCTGCTTCCCGTTTGCCTAATTGCCAAGCAGAAGTTGTGGTCTGGTTTGCTTTATTTTTGTATGTGAAATTCCCCCCACCCCTTCCACGTCAGCGTTGGTTGGGGCACCAGTCCTCTCCCCATAAATGCCGTCACCCCCGCCCCCGTGTGTCATAGGAGACAGGTGAGGTCTGCTGGCTGGTCTGAGGTGGGGAATTGGGCCTGGGCTCAGCCTCGGGGCCCTGGCTGACGCCCTGCTCGTGTGTGAGGTGGTGTGTCTGCAGCCAGGCCTGTGGGGCACTGCGCAGGGGCCCCCGGCCCCCCACCCTTCCGTGCACAGAGGCCAGGGCCCAGCTGAGCGCCGGCTCCCTCGGCTCCCTCGGCTCTGTGGGGATGAGCCCAAGCTCAGTGTGAGGTGGGCAGCCACTCCACTACAAGAGGAGGGACGTGGGCCTCGGGGTGGCCTAGCTGCTTCGCTGGGGAAGGCCCCAGGCTTCTCTGGCCTTATAGGGAGAACCCCTTTAAAAGGTGGGGGTTAGGTCCCGGAGGCCCCCAGGCCAAAGGACTTACCCCGTCCAGCAATCAGGTGAGGGTCAACCCAGGGGAAGCTTGGTGAGGGGACGGGGCCACCCAGCCTTGCGCCTCTGGGGGACCCTCGGACGTGTACCGTGCACCTTCCCTACCCTTTGGGGGTTTTGGTTTTGTTTTGGGGTTTTGTTTTTTTTTTTTGCACTTGGCCCATGCCGGACAGTGGAGCCCCGCTGGTCAGTTCCACTCCCAGGCGCCCATGCACTAGCCCAATGCAGCCTCTTTGGGGCTTGTGTGGTTTGAAGAATCACTTTGAAAAAGCAAAAGGAGAGTGTTGAACGGTTTGTGTTTCCTCTGTCTGCATCTCCTCTCAGGTTCAGAAGCCCTGAACCGAGTAAAGCTCGGAGAGGTGACCCCAGCCTGACCCCCAGTCTTGGTGGACAGTCACCAGAATGCGGAAATGAGGGTGGGGTGGGGACCAAGGAGCCCAATGCCTGGGCCCGCTCCCCAGAAGGAATCAGCACCCCCTTCCACAGTGAGTGCGTGCGTGCCCGCATGCCGCGCTTCTGCTAGGCAGGGGGTGCTGATGGCCAAATGGGGGCCTCCCCCCCCCCCCGAGCGAGGCCAAGGCAGAAGGGACAGGTGGGGGGACGGCCTCTGTGGCGGGGTGGAGTGGAGGCAGACTTGTTTTTGTTGGTTTTAATTTAAAACACAAAGCCCTAAAGAAATGTATCTTATAATTTTTTTTAATTTTTGAAAAGCTCATTTAATGAATTGTGCACGAATGAATTCTATATATATAAAGTGTGCATATATAGCTCTATATTTGGGGAGGGCGCTCTCTTTCTTCTCTCATTTAAAACATGAAGTGCTGTTGCTGTTGTTTGTGATTCAACCATTCAGCTCCCAGCTGGCTAACCTTTGCCTCCAGTGGGAAGAGACCAGGAACTAGTAGGGCGGCAGGAGACCAAGCGGGGGCAAGGCCTGGGCCTGGGGGTGGGTCCCCAGCCCCCCCGACCCCTCGCCGGGAGGCTGCAGATAACAGGAGATGCCCTTTTGGGGTATGGGTTTTGGTTCTGTTCTGGATTTGATTTTTTCTGGGCCAGGGAAGGGGGCTTTGTGCCGATTTTACTCTTGTCTTGTATGTTTCGTTCTGCTGCTCTTCAATATTGTATCAATGCCAGGAAGGGGGAGTGAAAAGCCTCTTTTGCCCCCCCAAATAAATCGTCACATTCCGAAGCTAAGATCTGGCCCCCGGCTGGGAGTGTCTGTCTCACTTATTCTTGTGCTGCGATGGTGGTCTCCCTCTGGGTCTCCCTTCGCCCACTTCCAAGCTCTCCCCCACCCGAGTCTCAATGCGTGAGTGTCTCAGGCGAGTGCACCAGCGCAGGTCAGGCTGAGATGCTGGCTCATCTGGAATCTGGAGGAGACCTAGTGGGGGGGTCTTGCATTGGACCCCTGCTTGGAATCACAGCACCCACAGTCAGGGGTCCTGTCAGTCTGGGTCCCTAACAAGCTTCCGACGTCTACTCCCAGCTCAGGGACACATCGGTTTCCTGGTGCTGGTGTGCCTCTTTGGTTGGAGAGCAGCTATGGGGAGCCCTCCCCCAGCAAGTACAGACCATGGTGCAAAAGCAGAGCCCAGTCTCCAGCGCCGACTCCGGGGCCACTGTCCCCACTCCCGCGTCCACAGCCTCCTGTCTGCCGGCCCTAAGCAGGTGTCGCCATCCACCTCACCCCCAGCCCTCACCCCTCATCACGGTTCCTGTCCTGCAGGGGCTGTTCTGGCCAGTCGGCCTCCCTGGGCCACCAAGCTCCATCCTTTCCTGCACCACCGTTCCCTCTGCCACACCAGCCACCAGCCCAGCCATCCTGGCCCAAGCCTGGGGGCAGAGCTGGGCAGGTGATGGTCTGTGACCCTGGGAACCAGGGAGCTTGGATTCCACCCCCGTAGGGATGAGAGACGATCTTGGGCCCTTGCCACAAGAGGCTTAGAATATAGCTGGACTCATATTTCAATGGAAGAGCAAATGGAGGGTGAGGGGAGACACCTCCCCACCCCAAAAAAAGCTGTCAAAGAAGTTGCCTGTCATGTTTGGCATTGTCAGAAAAATGAAAGTGAAATCTATCCCAAAGAAGCGTAACTCTCGATCTCCCTTACGCATAGTTGAGGTTCGAGTTAGCCTAATCCACATGGGTCAGAACGGACCTCATCAGGTGACTCTGACTAAGGCTTTGATGAACTCAAAGACTGCAAATGAGTCAGGACACAGGGGCCAACATCAGCATGATTCTATTGAAAAGCCTCAGGAGGTGGGATGAGAAGATGCTCTCCCAGCCTCAGCTACCGAAATGCTTTTGGAAACGGTGCTCCAGCTATTTCCCTGAGACGTGTTTAAAGTACAGGTGAGCAGGAGGTGGCTTAGGAAATGCTCTGAACTGCTGTGCTAGCATAATCACTCACATACATGTACGCATAAGAGTCAGACCTGGCTAGCCCAGCCTTTGCTGAATAAAGTTCTTAAGAAAATTATCTTAAAAAAAAAAAAAAAAACTCAAGTCTGGAGGCAAATCTGAGACACAAGGTGGGGGAGTTCCAGAGCCTCTCTGAGGGCCGACTCCACCCCTGGGAACACACGGGACCCTCACAGACAAGAGGCTCGTAAACATGAGCTTGTGAACACAATCCCAACCCGGAAGGCATCGGAGATAGCGGCCACGCACTGCAGAACCACAGGCAGCCCGCGGCGAACCCTGCATGGGGCGTGCGCTGTCAGCACCGAAGACTCCCAGACACGGTCATACAGTACGGAAAGCAGGTCCCAATCAGCCCGTCCCGATCGACTCTAGGACTGACTGGCAGCGCAGTTCCCTGCGTAAGGTAATCACACTGAAAGTCCATAACCAAAACGCAAAACCTCACCCACGTGAACAGGCCGTTCACTCCCTGGGGCTTTGCCCCCTCCTCAAGCTTCTGAAGCCGCTTAGATTCCAGGGG